ACGTGTCCCTGGTCGGCTGGGGCCCGTCTCCAGCAGACCAGGGACACCGGGAGCAAAGCTGCAGTGGCGGCGGAGTCCCGCGCCTCTGAGACTTTGCCAGAGCAAAGCCTCAGAGGCGCGGGACTCCTCTGCCTCCCCGGCTTTGCTCCCGGTGTCCTTGGTCTGCTGGAGATGGTCCCCAGCAGACCAGGGACACCCGGAGCAGCTTTTCTCCCCCCGGAGGTCGAGGTGGCGGGACCGCTGCGCTCTGGGCAGTCCCGCTGCCTGCGAGCTCCGGGGCGAGAAAGCCCTGTTCGTAAGTGCGGATCCAACATAAGTCGGATCCGTGTAAGTCAGGGACTGCCTGTACTCACCTTAAATATTTCAGTGGCAAGAGATGCAGTCTTTTAAGCATGAGCACTTTATTTCAAAGTTATAGGGGATTTCAAGTCTAAAAATATGTAATTTTATCACTAGGTTTTGTATACTAGAACTATGAATTGTTTTGTTTTCCTCAAGCTATCTTTAAAAGTGTGTGTTTTAAATGGCTGCATATTGGCTTTAAAGTTCAGATTCCCTTAAGATGAATGTAGGAAGTTCAGATCTGATTTGGCTTCATTTTGTTTCTGTAAACATGAAGATGTTTTTTTTTCCCATACAAAAGGCTTAAGATCATTTTTTTTTAATCGAAAGCTTAAAGAAAGTGAAATCCATAAGAAATCTTCAATGCATGCAATCTGCACCCTGTATCCCATTCCTCTTATTTATAGGATCAATTCCCAGACACATGAGCTTTGCTAGTTGTTTAGCATTACATTTGAAGTTTGAGCTTTGCTATTTGTTTAACACAGTTTGTTTAAAACAAAATAAAACCACTATACTTCTGATGCATGCCAACAAAGTTACAATGTTGAGACCATTCCGGGAGCTACTCAAGTCCAAAGTAAACATATTTATGGGGAATATTTGGAATAATCAACACTGTGGACTGTTCTATCAAATGAATCAGAGGAAGGAAGAATGGAGTAAAGGAATTAAATGTGGTAGAGGTCAGGTATGTGGAGATTTCAGTGAAAGTTATCCCTGTTTTCTGTAAAACACAGTAGAATCATGGAGTTTAAGGCCAGAAAAGACAACCAGATCATTTAGTTTGGCCTTGAAATATATCAAAGGCCAACAACACCAAATAGTACCCACATGCTAAGTCCAACAATGAAATTAGACGAAAATACTATAGCCCACATTTTAGGGGCTAAATTGAGTTTCCACCAATAAATGCAATTGCAGTAATAAATGCTCTTTCCTTTAACCCTCCTTGTAGTCACTGAAGTGAATGAACTGAAATTTTCTCACATGAGAGAGAGTGCTGTAATAAGTAGAGCCCTGTGTGGGTACAAAATTGGTACCCTCATCAGCACCTGCAAAAATGATCTGTGGATATCCAACTCTATATCCTAAGGTATCTGCAGATGTGAAGTGGATATCTGCAAATTTGCAGGGTTCTAGATACAAAATTTGTATCCGCATCTGTATCTGTGTTATGCAAAGGAGGAAATAATACTTCCTTATTCGCTGTCTCCACATCATTCATGATTGTATAGATCTCTATCATAGCTCTGTCGTTCTTCCAATCTGACTATATATATATAATTAAATGGGGTGACCAGAACTGTACTCAGTATTCAAAGTATGGGTGTACCATAGATTTATATAGTGGCATTATTTTTTCTGTCTTATTATTTATCCCTTCCTAATTGTTGCTAACATTGTTACCTTTTTTGACTTACAACATTTTGTCTTATATATCTGCTTACAAATGTGTAAGGCACCCTAGCACAGATCCTTTAGCTTATACTGAAGCAAAATGCAGGACAATATAGCACTTTAAAGACTAACAAGATGGTTTATTAGATGATGAGCTTTCGTGGGCCAGACCCACTTCCTCAGATCAAATAGTGGAAGAAAGTAGTCACAACCATATATACCAAAGGATAGAATTTAAAAAAATGAACAAATATGAAAAGGACAAATCACATTGCAGAACAGAAGGGGGATGCGGGGGGGTGGGAAGGGGGAGGAAGGAAGGTAAGTGTCTGTGAATTGCTGATATTAAAGGTAGGGAGAGTGGGATGTTTGTGAGTTAATGGTATTACAGGTGATAATTGGGGAAACTGTCTTGGTAATGGGTGAGAAAGTTCAAAGACTTGTTAAGTCCCTGTTGGTAAGTGTCGAATTTTAACATGAATGAATTTTAACATGAATTTTAGCTTATACTGATATTCAAGTATGCTGAAAAAGAGGCCAATGCAACAAAATTGTTTGACCCCACTTTTTTTTTTTTAGTGGATGTTGTGAAAAGCAACTGTGA